AAGAAGGGGCGGGGGGGCCAAGATCTATGGTGCCAAATCAAGTTAGGGGGTGAAGGGGGGGGGGGTGCCAAGATCTATGGTGCCAAATCAAGGTAGGGGAGAAGGGGCGGGGGTGCAAGATCTATGGTGCCAAATCAAGGTAGGGGAGAAGGGGCGGGGGGCCAAGATCTATGTGCCAAATCAAGGTAGGGGAGAAGGGCGGGGGGTGCCAATATCTATGGTGTGCAAATCAAGTTAGGGGGAAAGGGGAGGGGGTGCCAAATCAAGGTAGGGGGAGGGGAGGGTGCCACATGTAGAACGAGGCGGAAAAAGAAGAAAGGTTAGCACTCTCACCCTTTTTCCTGGATAGCTGAAATCCCCACAGTGCCAGTGCCACACAGATGGAGAGGAGCGTGGCACTCACTTATTCCTCTCCCCGGTGACCCTCTAGAGCACCTCACTGCCACTTGCAAGAAGACAAGCAGATAGGGTGTGTGTGTGTGTGTGTGTGTGTGTGTGTGTGTGTGTGTGTGTGTGTGTGTGTGTGTGTGTGTACACATAATAGTATATAGACAAATAATAATAATAATAATATAATAATAAATACTAACGTTTATTGAGAGCATGGCAGCCGGAAGGCTGAAAATATACTAATTACATAATTGGGAAGTAGGTCTCTTGATTTACAAATGATATACAGGCAAACATAAGTGATACAAATATGATATATAATAATTAGGTGTTGATAATTTTTACAATGGTTTGACTGGGCCGTTCTTAAAGCAATCAGTATGTGCTCCTATATGGGCTGGATGGGTTGGCTAGGTGTGTACTACGGTTGTGACAGTAGCTTGGGGCAATCCTTTCACCTAATTACCAGCACTCAGATCAACACTCTTTCTCAAACACTGACTGAGAGAGACGGAGAGATGAGAGATATGTTCTCTTAACCTCTGCCATGAGATAAAGACGTGTGTGTGTATGTCTCTCTCTGTCTCTCTTGATTATTGTATTATGTATGAGCTGACGTGGTGTATACAGTTACATGACCCTGAGTGTGGTCTTGTATATAAATTAATTTAATTATATTGTTTCTCTAATCTACAAATCAACATAAATTATACCCATCTAAAAAAAAAAAACCTAATCATTTTCTAATACACAAATTAACATAAACGATTAAAACTAAACCACCACCAACTACATAAACCCATTATATATTACTATTAAAAAAAAACCTAAAGCTTACCATTAACTTTATAGAAAATAGAATGGCAAATAAAATCCCCAGACCTTTCTATCAGACACAAAGCCAACAATTGTCAGCACACTCAAACTCTCAGGGAACAAGGGGGGGGGGGAGGGGAGGGGGAGGGGGGAAGGGGGAGGGGAAGCTGTGTTATATGCCTGGCACAGCTCTCTTAAGTTTTTTTTCTACACTGACAAACTATTTTTCTGGGGGGGGGGGGGGGGAGGGGGGAGGGGAGGTGGGAGGAGGGGGAGGGGGCTGTGTTTCAATGCATGTAATTTCGTATGGTTCTGACATGTTGGTGGAGTATTTTTTTTTGAGGGGAGGTGATTATGTTGAAAATGTTATGTATTGGTGATTTTATTGTTAGTGTTATTGTTGTTATTATTGTTATATTATTATTATTATTATTATTATTATTACTACTACTACTACTACTACTACTACTACTACTACTACTACTACAAACATAAATATAAACACAAATAATAATAATAATAATAATAATAATAATAATAACAGCAATAACCACAATGATATAAACAACAATAACAGTAATAATAACAACAAAAATAACAGTAATAATAACAGTAATAATAACAGTAATAATAACTGCCTCTGACTAACATAAACAGGTAAAACAAAGCGTTAATTAAAGCAGGTAACACCAACAACACTGGTCTTTTTAAGCTTTCTCAAGTGACTGTCGAGAAAAGCTTAAGTTGTTTTTAATGTTGAGATAACTTTGTGTGTGTGTGTGTGTGTGTGTGTGTGTGTGTGTGTGTGTGGATCATCACCACTACTACCGTATTATTATTATTATTATTATATATTATATATTATATTATTATTATTATTATTATTATTATTATTACACTAAACCAAACATCATTTTCACCACACTCTTCCTTCTTTTGCCATCTCCAACGCACCCCTCTCCCTCTCAGTGTGTCTCAATCAGTGGGAGAGTCGAGAGAGAGTGAGAAAGAAAGTGTTGGAAGAAAACACACGTTCAAGCTGCTTCTCTCTCTCTCTCTCACTCTCTCACTCCTTGGTACATTCATGGGAGACGTGACCAGCTTCTCACTTCCTTCTGTGTCGTTTTCTTTATCTCTATCTTTATTTCTCTTTCTCTATTGCATTTTGGATTTTTCTTTTCTTTCTTTCTTCTCTCTTTTATTTCAAGGTTATCACAATCTCTCTCTCTCTCTCTCTCTCTCTCTCTCTCTCTCTCTCTCTCTCTCTCTCTCTCTCTCTCTCTCTCTCTCTCTCTCTCTCTCTCTCTCTCTCTCTCATGGCGCCAATCAAACAAAGAAGAAGGAAACAAAATAAAGGGAAATATCTTGAGGATCATTGGGAAGTTCCTACCCACTCTACCGGGTGTAGGATACGTGACCTGGTGGTGAAGGATCTCTTCTCTCTCTCTCTCTCTCTCTCTCTTTCTTTCTCTCTCTCATTGTCTTTCTCTGTCTCTAGCTTTGTGTTCTTATTCCATTTACTCCCTCTCTCTCTCTCTCTCTCTCTCTCTCTTCTCTCTCTCTCTCTCTCTCTCTCTCTCTCTCTCTCTCTCTCTCTCTCTCTCTCTCTCTCTCTCTCTCTCTCTCTCTCTCTCTCTCTCTCTCTCCTTTCATCCTTCTCTCACACAGCCTTTCCTCCTCCTCTCTTTCCCACTTATCCTCTCTTTCTCTACCATCTCCCCACTACCATTGTCTCACACTCTCCCCATGTTTCCCTACCCTCCTCTGTCATCTCCTTCTACCCTCACTATTGTCATCCTCCCCTCTCCTCCCTCCCCTCTCTTCCTCCCTCTCTCTCTCTCTCTCCCACTCACTCCTTCAGGACCATTGTCTCAGCTACATCTCCTAGATAAAGCATACGTGACTGCCACCAAACACCATCTTATGCTCGCTAGGTAATGTTCTTCTCTCAACACTCACTGGATGTCAAGTTTTCTAATCCTAACCTAACCTAACCTAGTTGCCTTAACCTAATCCTAATCCTAACCTGGACCTAGTTTCTAATCTCTAACCTAACCTAACCCACCTAACCTAACCACCAATTGTATTTAGTTTGGTGATGGGGTGGTGATTTTTTTTTTGGTGGGGGTTCTTCAATGTTGGTTTGTTGGGTTGAATTGGGTTGTAGGGTTAGAAGGTGTCTGGTTGGGTTGTCAGGGGTTGGGTTGGGTTGTAGTTGGGTTAGCTGTTGGGTTGGGTTGGGTTGGTGGGATGTTTTGGGGTTGCTAGGTTGGGTTGGGGTTGGGCTGCAGTTGCTGGGTTGGGCTGTTGGGCTGGTTTGTCAAGCTAGGGGTTGCCTGGTTAGGCTTGGCTGGTAGTTGCTGGTTTGCAAGAAGGCTGAGTTGGTTTTGGCTGCTAGTGCTGGGCTTGGGTTGCCAGGTGTAGGCTGCTGCTTGGGGTTGTGCTGGGCTTGGCTGGTTTGGGTTGCTAGGTTGGTTGTTGTGTTGTGGTAGGCTGGTTGTGGGTTGTGCCAGGTTGGTTAGGTTGCTGGGTTGGGCTGGGGGTTGGGTTGGGGCTGGGTTGAGGTTGGGTTGGTGGGTTGGGGTTGGGTTGGGTTGGGTTGGGTTGAGGTTGGGTTGGGTTGGGTTGCTAGGGTGTTAAGAAACAATTGGGGAGGAAGATCTAACCTGGGGAAAAGACAGGGAGGAGGAACCAACAAGTTTTCCCCTTTAGAGAAAATGTGACCTAAGTTTGGAGTTGTGTTGGAGGTCGAGGTCAGGCGGTAGGTCCTCCTCGTCCCCCAAGAGGAGGTCATTCCAGGTTAAGTATTGTTGGGAAGAAGAGGCCGTACAGAACATTGGATGGAGAAGAAGAGGAGGAGGAAGAGGAACAGGAAGAGGGGAGGAGGAGGAGAGGAAGAGGAACAGGAAGAGGGGAGGAGGAGGAGGAGGAAGAAGAGGAGGAATTGAAGGAATAGATGGTGTGATGATGATGATAATGATGATGATGATGATATGATGATGGATGATGACGATGATGATGGTGATGATGATGATAATGATGATAATGATGATGATGATGATGATGATGATGATGATGATGATGATGATGATGATGATGATGATGAAGAGGAAGGAGAAGAGAGGAAGAAAAAGAAAATGGAAGAAGATAACAAGAAGAAGAAGAGGAGGAGGAGGAAGAGGAGAAAAAGAGGAGGAAGGAGAAGAAAATGGAACACAATAACAAGAGAAGGATGAACAGGGGAAGAAAATCAAGTAAATGAAGCCAAATAAGAAGAGAAATGAGGATAAACAAGAGAAGATGAACAATAACAAGAAGAAGAACCGGATAAATATAAGAAAGGGGAACTAAAAAGTAGAATAGGAAAAACAGAAAAGCTAAGAATAATAAGAAAAATGAAACCAGGAAGAAGTAGCGTTAGGTGTTTCCTGTAGAAGATTGAAGAAGGAATACTGTAACGAGGACCGTGTGTATCTCTCACCTTCTCTCTGGAACTCATATTGTCTCTCTGGTGTACTGTCTCTCATG